TGAGACTCATGACCATGTTCGATATGAATGACCAATTTGATATGGACATTAGTGCTGCAGCATAGATATACAGCGCTATCAAGTATTTATAAGCATTTCAACAACATTCTACAAACACCTCAGAATTTTCTTTTTTTGTTGCTGTTCATAATCTTAAAAGTTAAATTGAAAAACCATCTCAGACACCAGTAGATGAAAATGCATGTTTCTCTCAAGTTTCACAGTCTTGTTACCCTTGTTTTCACGTTTTTTTAAAAAAAAGGCTAACTTTGGCTCAAATGTTGTCCATTTGCATCAAGCAGTTTCCATTTATTTCACTCTGTTCTGACTGTTGTATCTATGCTCTGTGTTGTACAAATTTCCCCTGAAATGTCTCCTGAAATACTGTGCATTAGTTAATGTGCATCCTGTCGATCAAGCAACTCACGTCACTTAATATAGTTCAAAATATTGTAAGATGAAAATTGATTTATTGGTAAATTAGCCAAATGTATAAAAGAGGAGCAAAGAATTCTATTCTCTTCAACACCTACTGACAATCCAGCTTGGTTGGTGTAATCATGAATCAATCATGGATGGATCTTACAGTGATAAGTGTATTCCCCTCACCAAAGAATAATTTGGCAGAGGGCCAACACCACCTGCTCTGATGTTGAGGAATTGTCTGTTTTCTACCTGCGACCCAAGAGCCACACAGAGAAAGGAGAGCTGCAGGTCATTAACAACAACAACAACCAAATTATATTTATAGAGCGCCTTTCACATCTGGAGGACATCCCAAGTCGCTGGACAGTCAGGGGTCAGGACCCGAGCATGGGGGAGGGGTGGGGTAGGGATGAGGGAAGGCAGAGAGGTGAGAGGGTGACTGAAGGCATGATCGAAGAGGAGGGTCTTGAGACCGGCCTTGAAGGAGGCAAGGGAGGAACTGAGGCGAAGGGACCATGGGATGGAGTTCCAGAGTGCGGGGGCAGAGAGACTGAAAGCTCGGCCACCGATGGTAGGGCGGGTCGGGCAGGAGACATGGAGCAGGCCAGAGCCCACTGAACTGAGGGAGCGGGCAGGTTGGTAGGGAGTCAGCAGGTCAGAAAGGTAAGAGGGGGCAAGGCCATGGATCGTCTTGAAAGTGATGATGAGGATCTTGAATTCGATCCTCTGAGGGATGGGGAGCCAGTGGAGTCGGGCGAGGGTGGGGCTGATGGGGTCGCAGAGCCTGATGTGCGAGAGTACACGAACTGCAGCGTTTTGGATGATCTGCAGCTTGTGAAGGGAAGAGTTGGGAGATTGATGAGTAGGGAGTTTCCATAATCAAGCCTTAAGGTGATGAATGCATGGGTAAGGGTTTCGGCAGCCTAAGGGGTGAGGCAGTGCGGGAATCTGGCAATGTTGCAAAGGTGGTGGTAGGCAGTGCAGGTCATGGCGCGGATGGGGGAGAGAAAGGACAGTTCGGAATCAAACAAGACAGGTTCCCGACTGGCTTAGTGAGGTTGAGTGTGCAGCCATGGATGCTGATACTGCCAGCGTCCGAGTTGCGGAGGCGCTGGAGGGCCTCGGTCTTGCTGACATTCAGTTGGAGAAAGTTGTCCCTGGTCCAAAACTTGATATCGGTCAGTAGACCTGGAGTTGAGGGTGGAGGCAGAGAGATAGAGTTGGGTGTCATCCGTATACATGGGTAAATTTACCCCATGTCTGCCAATGATGTCACCAAGGGGGAGCATGTAGAGGGTGAAGAGGAGGAGACCGAGGACAGAGTCCGCATGAGACGGAGCGGGGGCTGGAGGAGAAGCCGTTTGCAGAGACAAAGTGGAGGCGGTGTGAAAGATAGGACCTGAACCAGTCAAGGACAGAACCTTGAAAGTTGAGGTGGGAGGAGAGGCGGCGGAGGAGGATTGAGTGGTCCACAGTATCAAAGGCGGTGGCGAGGTCGAGGAGGACGAGGAGACAGAAGAAGCCCTGATCACACATGGTCAGGATGTCATTTGTGACCTTGACTAGAGCAGCACGGAAACCCGATTGGAGGAGTTCATGGAGGGAGTGGGAGGAGAGGAAAGAGCGAAGCTGGGAGTTAACGGATCCCTCGAGGACCTTAGGCAGAAAAGGGAGGTGGGAGATGGGCTGGTAGCTGGATAGCTGTGATGGGTCGAGGGAAGGTTTCTTCAAGGTGGGGGTGATAGTGGCTGTTTTGAGGGGAGAAGGAACAGTGCCAGATGACAGGGAGAGGTTGAGGATGTCGGCGAGTAGTGGGGCAGGGAGGTGGAGCTGGGATTTAAGGAGAGGGGTGGAGATGGGGTCCAGTGACCAGGTGGTGAGCTTCATGGAGGATATGGTGGTGATGACAGAGGAGGGGGTGACAGGTTCAAAGGTGTGGAAGGAGGGATGGGTAGTGGTTGGAGTCTGGAGGGGGGGTAGGGAGGGATGGATGTTGGGAGGGCAGTGGCAGCTGAGTGGGTTCCCTTGATTTTGGATTTGAGGAAGTCCAGCATTTCCTCGCAGTGGGAGTCGGAGGAAAGAATCTGCGAGGCGTGGCGGGGAAGGCGGAGGAGCTGGTTGGCGGTGGAGAACAGGAGCCTGGAGTTGCCCTCCGCCTCCAGGATTAACCTGGATGATGTGGCCGAGGCGAGAGCGGAGCGGTAGGTTTTTGATGTCTCCAACCAGGTGTGTCAGTCGACCGTTAGGCTGGATTTGAGCCAAGTGCGTTCGGCAGCCCCCACCTGGCGCTTGAGCGAGCGGAGGTCGCTGTTGAACCAGGGTGAGGATTGGGAATAGGAGGCAGTTCGGGAGGTAAGGGGGGCAAGGGCTTCCTCCGGGTGGAGACGGTGTTGTGGAGGAGTAAGCGCAGAAGGTGGGTTGGTGCGGGAGATGGGCCAGAGGGGGAGGAGGATTCCAGGGCTTGCGGGGAGATCTTCTTCCACGGGCAGTAGAAGATGGTGGTAGGTTTGGAGGCAGTGGGGAGAGGGATATAGAGTTGAAGGAGATAAAATGATGGTCAGAGATGGCCTTGTCGGTGATGGTGACATCCGAGACGCTGAGGCCCCGGGTGATCACCAAGTCGAGCGGGTGGCCGTGAACGTGGGTAGCAGAGTGGATGTGGAGGGAGAAGTTGAGAGAGGAGAGGAGAGAGGAGAAATCTGAGGAGGTGGAGCAAGGGTGGGGGGTGAAGTGGAGGTTGAAGTCGCCTAGGATTTCAGCGCTTTGGGACGTCCTCCCGACATGAAAGGTGCTCTATAAATATAATTTTGTTGTTGTTGTTGTAGGATGATGAGGCGGTCGGAGCAGAGGCAGAGGGAAGCTAGAAGGGTGGAGATGTCAGAGATGAAGGTGGGGGAGGATTTGGGGGGGCAAAATGCTAATTTTACCCAGCTTGTGCTGAGTAAGATTAGTCCACTCGACTGGCTATTAAGAATATAATTATAAAAAAAGCACACAACAAAAAACGCCTAATACATTCCCTCTTTCCACAGACCATATACAATTTATCCTATCATGAACTGGGTCCCACCATTTCAATTTTCTAAAGAAAAGTTCTGAACAAATACTTCCTGATCTCAAAAGTTATCAAAACAAAACATACAAATATTCACCAATTCCTACATCTCCACTATGTGGCTTTCTGTCCACTGCAGACAATGTTCCCCTTTGCATAAGCGGCTGCAGGGAGGGAGGGCTCCGTTCTACACTGATGTGTCGCTGAGCACCCTGGAGCCAGAGGCGGCTTCACAGCAGACACGGCTATTTGCCAAAGCTCCTCAAATGAGGACTTGGATTAAGCAGCTTGTGCTGAGTAAGATTGGTGTGCGGCATTGGGCTTCTACCTCAAGAACATCAACGTCCCCCTCTTGATTAGGCTCCCAGTCAACTGTGTGAAGAACTCTGAGACAATCTCATGTCGTGGAAAGCACTATGTAAATTGTTTTTTATTTTACTTCTATGCATCCCCTAAGATGGCATATCACAAACTGTCACTTTAAAGGTCTTCTCACTATGCTGATAGCAGATGTCCGTCATTTTAGTGATGAGGAAATTCTGAAGCTTGGGGTTGGGACAGCTGCTGGAAGGTGTTACCCGGAGTTTGGGTTTGCGAACACTTGTTTGTATATTCAGGGTTTGGAATCCACCTTGATTGGTTTACAGAGGCAAGCAGCTCAAGCTCCACACCTCCAACTAGTGGAACCATCGCTCAATGGGAAGGGATGCATGTCCGAGTTGTGGGCAGAAAGATGACAGCAATATCTACTCACTTGAGGAATGTTTATCTTACTCCCTAGGCCGCTCCATCTGTCCAGCATACCCTGATCTGCTTCATGTTGCTCGCCCGATCCATCCCACCATTAGTGGATGAACCTTCAAATACTCTCTGGAACATCCCTCTGTTTTACCACCTCTCTCCCTGCCTTCAAAACCTGCCTTAATACCTCTTTTTGACTACCATCTCTCTCCCCCCACCCCCACACACTGGCCAATTAGACTCCAAATCAGCTGTGTGAAGAACTTTGAGAGAATCTCATGACTACTGTATGTAAATTGTTATGGTTTATTTTACACCTATGCATCCTCCACTACTCAGCTCACAGTTTGACTCTACAAATAGCTTTTCTATATCTATACAAGTTTTCTGCTCATTATTTTAACCTCCTTCAATTATAATCTCTATCAATCTAATTTTGACTGATGACATGTTCAACTATCTGTCAATCCACATAATTTAAGAGCTCTGTCTCAGAATTACCATTCTCCCTCTTTTTCAAACCCTCTTCAGCACATACAATATCCTTCTATTCAACATAAGACCTCACAAGTGACATACAATTCTTTTTCAACTTTTGTCAGAAACCCTGAATATCTAAACGTATTTTAAAATACTTATCTATCTTGTTTCTACCCTCCTCTCCTGAAGGGGTACAGATTAAATGGGTATCAACAAGCATCTAATACTTTGTACAAGTCAACACAATAGACTTCCCCTTCAAGTAGGCAACATATCTGTTCACTGTATCTTTATTTACCTGCAGAGACTCGTGGACAGTCTGGTAACATGGATTCTACTGGTGCGTCCAAAGGTTCAGAGCTTGACACCCAATTACGACAGTGCTGGAAAATAAAAATAGATGTACTTTTAGACCCAGTTAAGAGTTTGAATACTTAACTAACCAATATTTTTTTCCATCCTGAAATTAAGACATTTCTTGGGTTTTTTTAATTAGAGATTTCCTATCAGGAAGTGATTTGAACAGCTGTAAATCAGTAAATACTTTTTATTGTTTTTTCCAGAATTTATTGATGCATAGACAATTTCTGAGCAATGCACATATATATGCATTGCTCTTTCATGTACAAAAAGAAAAATTTAACAACAAACAACAAAAACAGAGGCCAGCAGAAACACATAAATATAATAGATCCAGACTAAGTCGGGGATAAAATATTCAAAGGACAATATTACAAAATAAAATCTGGATTTAATCCAGAACACGGTTATTAGATAAAGCAAAACAGAATTTACAAATTAAAATTGATCCCAAAACAATTCTGATTTATCTTCATACAATGACATTATCATAAATCAGAACTGATTCTCTAAATTTATTTATAGAGTAATTGATGCACAGTACTTTAAATTTCACAGAAACTATTTTAATGGGATCAACTCAGTAGGATCAGTTATCAACACACATATTTATCTGCCTTAAGTAATGATCCCAGTTTGACAATGCACTCAGAACTATTCACAGAAAGATAAAAAGATTTAGAATCTTATAGTTTCAGGAAGTAAACCGAGAGGCACTGAAAAGCAACACCTGAATATGGTTTGATAGCATCACCACAAGTCAACACCTTCCAAAGTTTTCTGTTTGTGTCTGAGTTTAATTGCCTAATTTGAGAATTTTCCTGGTGTGATACTGAATACAAGATTATTTGAAAATTAGATAACATAACCTTATAAAATTGTGACATGATGCAATATTCAAGTCATTGGAAAATTAGACAACAATCTATTCCTCATTAAAATGCCTTGTCAGAAAGATATTGTTCCAATCACCTTTACTTGCAGTTGCAACTATATTATTTGCCCCCATGCTAAATTCCGGGCTTCTGAGATTAGTAATTGAGACATCATAATACTGAGAGTGGGGAATTTGGAATTTAAAATTGTGTGGAAACTTTTTGAGTCTGTTTTGTATTAGTATCTGTGTTTGGGTCTCAAAGTAAATGTTTTCTGCATTCTGGCCACCCACTGGGATCATGTTGCAATCATGAGCTCATTATTTTACTAGTCTGGTAATCATAATTCAGAATAAAGAAATGAATTTAGCAAGATGGACAGCCTAGTGTCTAGGTGTTAAATATATTATAATCCTGCTGTAGAAAGGGCCATAGATTCAGATTCTATGGAAAGCTATTAACTTGACATAAATAATACTTCCAATATAAAACAGGTGTGATGATTTCTAAGAAATATCCATCACATATGTTTTTTTTCTTGGTAATGACTAAAACTGCTGGACATAATGGGAATCTGCTAGCACCACCACCAGCAAAAGTGTATCTTTCCAACAGAAGAGTGATTTGCAGCAGGAAGCTAAATATACACTTACCAGCTCCAAATCACTATTGCTGGAGCTGTGGAGAGCTCTGCACATGTGCAACTAGGTTTAAAAGTTCTTTAGAATTGGCCTGGGTCAGAATTTAGTAATTAGGGTCAGACTACACTTTGCAATTTATCTGTCAAATGTGTTCAGGTGTCAGGATAGTTGGTGGTCACGGGCTGATCCTAATGTGCTGTATAAGGGATGTAATTTTAATCCAAGATGACTCTTGTACAATCTAATGAGTTATTTTAAAACAACTGACATAATGGGAAGTTTTTCATTTGTAGAAGTATTTTCTTTTGTCAGCATCTGATGTTACATCATTTAAAACTATATATATGAAGGGACATTTGGACACAAATATGTTTTTAAGAAAAAAATGAGCAGTAAAATTCCTGCAAACTTCCTGAATTGTAATATTCTGTATTCTAAATATTGGTATAATTGTGAGTTGAATTATATCAGTTTACAAAAAAGGGCATTTTCAACGGTGATGCTGCTTGAAGTCAGAGTGTCACACAGTACGTAGTAGGATACAGATGCATGCCCACAATTCCTCATATGATGACTTCCTGTTCTTAGCTGTGCTATTAAGGATAGATGCCTAGCAGATGCCAGACACCTTCCCCACAGGGAGGAAGGAAAAACAAGAAACTGTCATCTTGTCTTTTACTGACTGGATCATTGGTGATCAAGCCTTCAGTCGCTACGCCCCTAACCCCTTTTCCTTGCTTGGCATTTCACTTTTGCCTTCTCACTCACTTGCGTAGTATTAGTAAAATAACAGGAAGAATTAGAATAAGCAAAGTGAGATAAAATAATTTACTAAAAAAANCAGAATCTTAGAGAACAAGGTTAGAAAATGAGAACATGTTTCTTTTTCTTTGTTTGTTCTAGTGTTGAATGTAATGTATAAATTACGGTAATATGCTGAGCAGAAATGGTTGTCCATATTGGAATCCTATCTGCTAAATAAAACATCATATTAAACTACTATGCAATGATGCACAATTCTCCTAAATCAGTATCCTTATTTCAAAGTCGCTGTAATAATACCTTGTGTAATGATAATAATTCATACACTATATAATTCTTTGATTGAGGTGTGAAGGGCTCTTACAGAGCAATCGCTGATAAACTGAGAATCTGGTTAGAACCTGGCTTATTCAAGACATTTCAGCAAATGGTAAAAGTTAAAAGAAACAGCTAAGCCCAGTGTTCACCTAAAATATTTTTTAGTTTAGTGAATCACTTTGAATACAGAAAATCATCTTACATTTCTATTTGTAAACCCTGATTTCATGATGCATGATCAGCCTATTGACTTTAATGGCAGCATCTTTAGAAATCTCTACATTTTTAAAAATCTTTGCTTTTGCCTTTTCCAAGAAATACATCATTCAATTTCATATGAAAAATCCCTTTCTTTGGTGTGACCAAGTTAAGTTGAAATGCTATGCAATGTAATCAAAGCTGGTAAGGCATTCAGTGACTAGAGCAAATCATGAAACTTCTCAATTCCATAGACCTGACAAGAACTGGTGCGTTCTCCATTGAGTCACAGTTGGTCTTGCTCCATTGTTAATGCTGAAGCCTCGTTGCCTACAGTGTACACAATAACAGACCTAAGGGAGGCTGTGCTTCCTCTGTGATGCTGGTAGGAAGCTTCAGGGCTACAGCGTGAATTTTCTTACTGCTGGGAATTGAACCTAAGAACAATAAACTTTAAAACCAGCAGGAGTCAAACACTGAATTGTAAAAATAAGGAATTTAAAACAAAGAAAAAGAATAATAATTTACTGAGTAAAGAGCAGGAGATATCACGTGGGTTAAAGCCTGAAAACAAACGTAACAGAGTAATCATTCTCAGGTAAAACATACCGACTGGTGATGGAGCTTTTAGGGGTGTTTGGCAAATGCAAAATAAAGAAGAATAAAAGATCAAATAGAAGGTAAAAAGATGAAATAAAAAAGATTTGTTTATACTGTACTTAACATGCCTGACTTCTTATAGTCTTCTATGATTCCTATTAAATCAGACAGGATCTACAGTTATACAATTTACACCACTGGGCAATCAAGGCAGGTTGGAGCCTGCGGAAAGATTATTTTTGAACTTCTATGATGATTGAACCACAGCCATAGTGTCTGTGATCTCAGCACAGAACCTTAGCACCACAACAAAAACTATTTAAGGGCTGCTGACCCTCTTTGGCCTGTAGACATGGCAAACTCACATGGAGATTGGATCCACCCCCAAGTATCATGTTGGGCGGTATCCAAAGCACTTTGCAATGGGTATTTAAAACCCTCCAGCAACTCATGCATTTGCTCACAGAAGAGGATCTTTCCATCAAATAGTATCTGGAGAAGCTTGGACTACTGTAAGTAAATAAGTAAAAGGTGCAAATAGACCCTTTCCCTATGTTTAGGTAGGGAGAAGGAGGCTTCCCTTTCAATATCTTACCTTGAGTTGTGCTTATTTCACTCTAGAGAAATGATATCCCTTGAGAGAAAAACCTGCCCATAATCCATTTTAACCCTGACTCAACTCCGATACCAAGATCAACTAATTCCCACATGTCCAGTTATTTAGACTGACAGAAAAAGTAGCATTCAAATCCTGAATACAGGATTTACTATCGCCTTGATTGATACAACATTAGTGAATGAGAATGAGCAATGAGATACTCAGTACATACAATCTTTGATCAGAATGGGGCACTGCATGCATATTGCTGTAGTCCAAAAAGAGAAGGGAATATAAAATGGTGGAGTCAGTTCTTATGGGTCAAACCCAAAATGTTAATATGACTTTCTTTTTTGTGGCGGATTGACATGTTGCACATTTTCTTTATTATTACTGAATCGCACATTTTGGGTAGAGTTTTTTTGAGGATTACAATATTGAGAAAGAAACTTTAATAAGTACAAACATTATGTATGTCGTTATTGTTTTGATATTATTTTTTTAAACTGCTTCAGTATTATTTAGTGTGATTTAAAGTAAATGATTGCTCTTTGTCTTGTACGTTTTCTTTTGGATCTGCCTTTTCTGTCTAATTTCCATATCTTTCTCGTATTTTCTGTCTAAACTCTCACTCACTCCTTTGCTTTCTCTTTTCTTTGTACTTGCAGACAAGGAAAAAGGAAGCAAGCTGCAGCTAACAGAGCCGTCACAATCACTGAGACTGTCAGTGAAGAACCTTCCTCTCACTGTAGGTTCATATTTCTTAGTTCTCTTAGAAACCAAGCTAAAATGAAATATTATGCACAAGATTATTAGATGCAGTTTGGAAAGCCTGCAGCAAGAGCATCTAGAACAGTCATTGAGGCTGGTTGCCTTAGCATATAAAATTATGCCAGCACTTAAAAAAAATTGTGATCAGAAACAGAGGGACTGAGAAATTTGAATATTCTGGAATTTGTAGAAAAGAACTCGCCGACAAACTCACAGAAGCGCCTTAGTGAAGGATTAACACTAATTTGTGGAGTCCTGTA